GCCGATTTATAGTAGAGTATTTTTAGGTCGGGGCTCTTGACTTATTTTATCTGCTCGGGAACCGTGCTAGTCGGCAAGTAGCACCACACTTGACATCACCAGCGTCTGACTCCATGTTGACAGTGGTTTTCATGTCGTGTATCTTTATGTCTATTTACTGCCACCTCCCCCGCGTCCAAGTATATAGTATCTAGTATCTAGTATCTCTCCGTGCGGACTGCTACATTACGCTTCTGCTGCTTGACCCACTAAGGCCAGATTACGTGATTTGTCCCGTGCACGACGGAAGCAGATCCGCAGGAGCGGACCGGAGACGGAGAGCCAGATGGGGCAGAGATAGTAGCATTCAGGAGCGATAAGCGGAGCTACGAAAATTTCAAAGGGCATACAAATTTAAATCACGTCACTTAGGGCCAGCGTTAGGAGGCAAAACGACGCCGGGGACAACACAAAAGACGCAGCTACAAGTCCGGACATAATGGGTGCCATGTAAATAGTTGGCCCAGACGGGGGCGCACGGTTTTGGGACCGGGTCCGCTGCCATGTCCGGACTCGGGTTCGAGGCACTGACACTGCACTCAGAAAAGAGGTTTTCTATTCTTGTAGCAGTTATTTAAAAATAGCTGATATCCTAGGTTATGGTGTCTTAAAATGAAACGTAGTATTTTAAAGGTAATGGGTAATATCTTGTTAATTCTTTAAAATACTTAAAGATACATGAAACACTTAAAAACAAAGACTTCATATAATGATATTTAAGGTGTCTGAAAGTATGCTGTGAACAATCCTGAATGAATTTATTGTATTTCTGAGTTTAAAATATGTTATTGCATACTTTTAGACACCTATAATTACAATTAAAAGTGATCTAAAAATCCTACCACCACAGGTAGCATTTTACACTAACTTTTTTCAATGGCTTGAAAGATAATAATTACCCCTTGTAAGCTTGCGCTTTCCTTTAAATTTTCGAATCTTGAAAAGCATTATTACGAATTTCGACAGTTGTGAGGTTTCTGGGATCCTAATTCAGAGCGGAATGAGCTTCTCGGCTGGTTATTCTCCGAGTGTATGCTGCTTTGTGGCTACATGTGGGTCCGTGTGAGTTTGTTAAGCCGCTTTTGAGGCAGGCACTCAGGCACAGGCACAGGCACCGGCCCCAACCGCACACAGGAGCATTCCGTAGTCCCAGGGTCCGCAGCCCATAGTCGCAGGACGAATCCACGTGTGCGTTTGTCTCCGCTCCTTTGTGAGCGTGAGCCCGAGCGTGTGTGAGTGCCAGGACGACGGCCATGTTGCTGAGGCGCGGCAAAATGCCTGTTACGCTTTTGAGCCACCGCCTGCGGTTGACAGAGCACGTTGAACCGCCCATCCCGTTCGGATTGGAGCCGTGCACCTGGGCTTTTGGCCACCCTACCACCCAACCACCCCTCGAGAAACATACAAGCAAGCAGCCGCTCTGCGGCCTGATGCACATTAAAACGCAATTAAAGTTGCAGGCGTTAATTGTGCCGCCTCTGTTGCCTTTTTTGCACTTCTTTCTAGCTGCCTTTGCCGTTTTGAGTTGGCTACCGAAAATTAATTACTTTTGCCCTGTCAAAGTTGCCAAAGTCATTGGAAAGGAGTAAGTGTGGCTATTGCTCGAGGAAAATGAAATGCTCGAAAAATACAAGCAGGTGTGTTCTGGAATTCAGATTCACCAAACAGGCTAAGTCCACTAAAATCAGGAGCGGACCCATCTGAATGTACATCTGTAATAAAATGAAATACCACATTTTTTGGTTGACGTGCTACATATGTGATACTTTCCATGCGTGTTGTAGGTTGAAAATATGTTTTGTAAAACAATCTATAGCACTATAGATACTATCGATGGCTTAACAATGTAGGAATCATTGATGGTCGGGACCCAACATCTATAGTTTCGCTTATCAAAAAGTGATGAGATTTTTGTTTGTTGAATTAAAAGTATTATTGTGTTTATTTCTTAAAACACTGCGGTGGTTTTAACGTAAATTTCATTTTAATTGAGTTAAAACCTTGATGGATTTTCTTTTTCTATAAGCATCAGTTAGTTAAATTCAGTCAGGGTTAAATTCAGTTTTCTATTTCTTTCGTAAGTTGGCGTTCGTTTTCTTTTATTTTCGATAGTATCGATTGTATCGAGTGTGACCACTATTAATGGTGCCCAACATCTATGTTTTCCAAACCATAGTTTAAAAGCTACTTGCGGACGAAAAACGCCTCTAAGTTGATACATACATAGGTATATTCTCAATTTTCGCCTACTTGCAAAAGCTTTAAACATTTCATATTTCATGTTTCTATGTATTTTTATGGTTTCTAAAGTTATTATAGTTTTTCACTTATAAGAAAATGCATATTCCCTTTTATACCTCTTTAGGAATCTTGATTTAATTACCACAAAAATGCTGACGCTTACGGAATAAATGCTTCAATGAAATATAACTTATCAAAGAGCCAAAGGGAGGAACCTTAAGTTCAACCAAACCTGAAACAATACGTTTTCAAAAGAATTCTTTCGAATCTCGCAACATATTTGAAAGGCAGCCTCCGCGGCAAGGAAATGGGAATGCTCGCATGTGAATGTCTACTAATGAATCAAGTCCATGAATAAAGCCGCAAGTGAGTCCTTTTTTCGACTTTTGGTGTGGCACCACGAGAGGAGGTGGAAAGCAAGTGGGCGTGGCAGGAGTCGGCTGGTGCTAATGGGGTCACACACACGCCGACGTGGAGTCGTCGCCGGGTTTTTCTCGAACTGTTTCTTTCGCCAGTTGTGCAGTTAAGTCCTTTGCTAGGCAACTTTATCTCCCAGCACAGATTCTCAATAGCAGCTGTTGTTCATTTATTTTTTGCTGCCTGCACTGACGTTGCATGCTGCAAGCGTTGTTTATATCGCAGCTTTTCTTGCTCGTTTTATACTTTCCACTGCCTTGCGCCTTTGCAGCTGTCGGCGGGCTTGGCTTAAGCGCCAGTCGCTGGCGACGTGCCGCTGAAATAATTAAGTTGCCAATTCCGGCTAGCAGAGTATCAACAGCCAGAAATAGAAATGGAGATGGAAAAGGGAGTGCGAATGGGTGGTGGCTTTCACTTAGTGGCATAGTTTTTCAATTAGCCTGTCAGGACGCGCAGCAGGCGCTGTTTTTACAGTACTCCCCTGTTCGGAAACTCCGTTTTTTCCATCTCATAAGTCACAGATCGGGGGTAAGCACTAAAAAGCAACTCCACTCTTTGTTTCTGCAATCACCATCAGAGCAATCCCCGCTAAGCCAGGCCGACTTAAAAATTGGGCTTTTGCCCCGCCCTGGCAACATGTCGTTTGCGTAGTATCCAGGAATAGCCCCAAGTGCCTGTGCCACAAATAGAAAACAAACATGGAAGCCCGAGCACACACTCCCCAGCAAATAGACAGCTTGTCGAACATTTCGGTTGGAAGGAAATGCGAGACATTTCTCGAATATTACGCATACGCACGGCTGGCAGCCACAACACCGCAACTGAGGCGTTTTCCTTGCGTTAGATGTCGCCTCCGTTGGCCTGCTTTGCAGTCTGGTGAGCCGAGCGGAGCAAAAGTGAAAACTGCTGCAATTTCCACCAGAATGCCCGCCAGTTGACATTCTTTTGACAAAAGCCTTTGGCCTTGTCTCTAGATGAGATGCCTCGATCATTAGCATCGCAGTCATGGCGGAGTTGCAGCAAATTGCTTTGCCGTGCGAGCTCACTGTTAGAAACCATCGATTTTTATAGCTTTTTGATTTTGTATCTAGCTTGTAGTTCTTTGAAAGGAAGATGGCGATTTAAACACTTTGTAGAGCAACATTTTCGGGAACTCTCTATAAACTTGTGTCTTTTAGAATAGGAATATGTTCTCCATTTTACAGACCCCTATTATGCCTTAGTCTTTCTTTTAAAAAATTGGTTGAATTTTTGAAGATTTCCAATAATGACTGCTTTAAGCCGTGTGCCTTAAAGTCCCCAATTTCCCTGTGTGCAGTGTGCTTCCAATTTACGAATCAGCCAGAGCTGCGTTTGTGCCGAAAAAGACCAAAATGCAACTGGGTCGCCCGGGTGCAGTGCAATTTGAACAAAGGAAACAGAGGCACTAAGTTGCGGCGACATGTAGCGTTTAAAGTTGTGGCAAGCGAGCGCAGCCAATGAATACCAAATCAATCGATAGTGCGAAATCGAACTTCGCTGGCAGCCTCAGCAGGGCAGACATTTTTCTGCTCGGCTGACCCCGAGAGCGGAAAAGCAATTTCGGTCTGTGGCACCTCAAGTAGCTGGGGCAGCACCCTCTTTCCCCCATTTCCCGCTTTTCCCGCTTTTCCACTAGGCCAAACGATTTGCAAATTTTACCATCGCATCACTGGGTATTGCTCACAACCAATCGAGGGCATTAGCTGGGAAAAAAGTACGGAACGTCTTAACCAAATACGGAGAAAATGTTCAATTTTTTAGTCAATCAACTAGAAAAAGTTGCACTCAGATCCTTTGCGTATAGGTTTTCGGTATGGAATACTTGATGCTGGGCCCAAAGTTTTTACAACACGGAATTAAGCGATTAGAGGGAAGTTTGCCACCCAGTTGGCACGCATAAATTATTCCGAATTTCTGCTTCTGTCACCAGCAGATTTGCACACTGAAAGATATGAGAGCATACGTTTAAGTGGCAGTTTATTCGGTCTTTCGCTTTCTCAAAATGAATGTCAAAAAATACAAAAATCGTTACAGTATTTTGTTTTGATTTCGTTTTTGTAAATTGAAATATAACATATTGATATTTCTGTGATTTTTTTTTGTTTTCTATAGTCGGACAGCTCTGTACATATGTTCCTCCCACAGGAATGACCTGCAAGGGTATATAAACAATTTACTCATTTTGATCTAGTATGCCTCTACTAATTATATTTCACTTGTTCTGAATATATATCCATATCCATATATCCATATAGTCTCAGCAACTGGCCTCATACTGTCATATAAAATTAAGACTCAGTGTCATTTTAAATAAGGGTTTATTCTACTTAGAAAACTACAATACCTTATCTTTATTGTACTTCAATAATACCTTCATAAATCCACCTAGGTATCAATATTAGAAATCATTAGTAACTGACTAGTGAAATGTTTTAAATTTTCTTGTGTACTACCATAAGTTGCAGCCGTTGCAAAATGAATGCGCATTCAACAGCCGTGGCCATCATAGATATGGAACTGGATTTCGATGAGGGTGTGGATGAACACGGTGACGGAGGAGTCGACTCGGAGGAAGTGGCTCAGGGCGGGGATGTGCGGGCGCTGGTGCGGCGGCTGCAGGCTAGTCACGTGTGGATCCGGCAGCAGATGACGCACCTCCAGCGCCGCCTGGTGACCCTCCAGTTGGACAGGCAAAGGCGCCTCTACGAGGGAAGGGATCGGCTGCAGCGACTCCTGCGGAACTTGCAGGTGAGATACGGACGCAACTGGGGCCTGTAGGCGAAGTTCGGAAGTTGGAGCTGAAATTCGGGTGCCATCACCTCGAGGCACGGAGCTGATGTGACGAACGGTCCCAAATACATGCGATGTGTCGGGGTGGCGTCTGAATTGCTTACACAATTTGAGCATGTTGTGGGAAGTTAAATATACAAAGCTGATGAATTGAATTTTTCATGACTCTCTGAAAATCGGTTGGGTTAACCTGGCACACCCTGAATTGCGCTGAATAATTTATCGATGAATATTTGCAGGATGTGAATGTAATTGAATTTTTAAAATGTGGCATTGAGAAGTTTAAGCGGCTTCAAGTGTGGGCTTTCTCTTTCAACGCATCAAAAACATATTTATCTGGAAGATTGCTTCTTAAGAAAATTTTTATTTGTATTTTTTAACATTTTTATTGAAGCTCTCATTTCTAGAGCATTTTAAATTTAATTTTATTTTAGAAATGAAAGTCAAAAATGCATTCTATATATCTTACTGCAGGCAAATAATCCACCATTAATCTTACTAGTTTAGTGACAATCCCAGTCAAACCTCCTTGGACAGCTTAGTGGTCATAGTTGTTAAACAGACTTGTGCATCATCGATGTTAACCAAATGCCCATTAGACATGCAGTGAATGCCCAAGTGCGTCCATAAGTCATGCGATTAATTAATACCACAAGGCACACATCATAAGCCATGGACCTCTAACTCGGTCCTAAGTAAACCAAACCCCCCTGGCCATCGGAGTTCGCCGTCCTGCGTAACTCAATTAATCAGACACCAGTGGGGGTCGAGTGCGTCACTTAACTCGAGATTAACCCTTGACTGGCCCAGTCCCCGTCCTCCCATGCAATCATTGTGCAGTGCCTGGGGATGAGGCTGCAGCCATCGGGCACTGTCATCAGCCACTTACACGGGCCCATTGCTGTTTAGCAACTATTTATGGAGGCAAGTAGGTTCCACTTGCCACCTACAACCTTCGAAGTGCACAGGGAAAAACCTGGCTCTTTGGTAGGATATCCTACATGAGATTTCTGCTGTAATCTGAAACCCCCCATATCGAGTCTCCCTCTTTTAGATTCTTAGGGAGGTAAACATGGTTTGACACAAAGATTAACTAAATATGTAGTAATAACATGGCGGCATTATAAGGCTTTTTCACCCCATGTACCCAAGTGGAACTGAGCCGCAGCTGGAAAGTCCCACACTCGCTGGCATTGTAATGATATGCCCTTCGGGCTGTGTCGTCTGCTGTTCTGTTCTGTTCAGTTATGTCCTGGCCTCGAGAACTCCTGCCTGCAGATGACACCTAGCGTGTTATCATTAAACACTTGGAAAGTGAACCGCAGGGGCGGAACAAAAGGGGGCCAGCTGACATCACTTGAGTGGACCATAAACGGCAACAAATGCAAATGCAAATGAAATTATTGCCGCCGCAGCTCCATTTCTCTGGATGACCAACGACCCCGACTCTCGCCGGAAAACTGTTTGCATATGCAGGGACACACCCACAGATAGGCCACGCCCCCCGCCCACCGGAGCGCCCCTCGAACGGACGGGCTGCGACCCATAAAGCCATTGGCGACCGACTGCATTTCAGCGATATAAATATTTATATAAGTTAATCGGTTTATGGCGCACGAGTAATTGAATTTCGCGACGGCGCCAGGTAAATGCAACCAGGTAGCATGTAACATGTACTCCCGATCCCTCCGCATTTGGATGTCACGCGGTCAGAGCGATGTTGCAGAACGGGAGCGGGTCGCTTTAAACTTGATTTCTTACTCTGGGCATCCGTTTCCGCCCAGCCCATTTGAATATTCCAGGGCTGGGGTATACGGGAATCATGGGTTCTCTAACCTAGAGTAGGTTATTTTAAAGTTCGAAGTCGTATACCATGTAAATTACCTTTGAGGCAGCGATTTTTAATATAATTTAAAGACAACAATTCAGCATGTTAAATCAATTGGAGATCAAAAAAATTAATAAATAAGGCACAAACAGTTTTTATACCCCTTACTCGTAGAGTAAAAGGATATACTAGATTCGTCAGAAAATACGTAACAGGTAGAAGAAAGCGTTAAAGTATACAGGGGTGGTCAAAAGTGTTTACACAAAACAAAAGTTAAATATACTCATAATTTGAACTAACTTCATGTAGATTTTGGCATCAGTAAAATGGAGTGTTAGTAGGAGCTCGTATAGAGCGAATAGGAATCAACCATAGGTGGCGCTTTTTGTTACATGAGTAACGGGTATCTGATAGTCGATGCCGTCGACTATAGCGTTTTCTTTTGTCTTATTAGTATTTTTTTTTAAACTCTGTTTTTCAGCCGTTTTTTGTTGAAAATAAGTTTTATGCATCAGACAAATGATGCGCAGCAACATACGTTGTGAAACATTAAAGTTCTTGATAACCAATTGATTTTTTTGCGTATTACTGCGGAACAATAAATCAGTCATCGAATGACTGACTCCTCCGAAACAGCTCAGCTTGAGAAGTTTACATCAACAGCCTAATAAATATCAAATATTAAATTATTCCTGTAGACGAATTCTCGGTCAACTAGTTAACATGGTATACCCTTTTGAACACTAATGATCATGGTTGGTTATCGAAAGAAACATATAACTGGCCCATTCGCTTTTTTTATTAAATTTACATTATCTTATTCGCTCGAATTCTTTAGCTCTGTAGTCTTTTTTTTCAAAAAGTATTAAGATTGTGCTGAACAAGCGTAAGTATCATAAAGATTATAAGCACACGTGCTGAAAACCCCACATCAAACCCAATTATTTTAATCCCCGGGGTTGCAGCGAGAAGAGCATTCTAGCTTACATTTTCGAGTTACCACGAATATCGGGTTAACCCATGCGGCCCCCTTAACCCCTCCCTGCCCCACACGGAGCTCGCTCCAACATGGCGCCAGCCGGAAGTGCCAGCCCGTTCAGCAATGGACGCGTTGCCCCGTTTCTATGGCACTTCCGCCTTACTGCACATTAATTGCAATTAAATTTGGCATTACTTCCCTGCTTAAAACCCCTTTGCATTTCGTTTTTTGCTGTTTTTGCAACTCCCCGCCGCCCGCGCAAATTTAATGATGGCTGCAATTTTTGCACACTGCATTTTCCTATTCTTTGCATAATTTAAAGTTGTTTGCTTTGGCTGCTGCAGTTGCATGGTGGCGATGGAAAGAGGAGAAAGTGGGCATTTGATGTTGCCGCTGCTCTGCTGCACTGCCTCCGATATTGTTGTTTTCAATTAACTGCGCGTCTAGCTAAATGGCAAGTAAATTAATGTTTATAGTGCATAAATATGCAATTTATAGAGGGCCTCCCTTCTGGGTGAGCTTGTGTGGTGACGACATTGCTTTCAGACTTTGATGACGCCATGTTTCGGTTGAATTGAGCGTAAATTTTAATAAGTTGTTTGAGTTGGGGGCACAAACCAAAGGCTTAGTGAGGTTTCACATATTTTGTAAGGGAGCTACTCAGAGCCTTGTGCCGTAAATTAATAAAATTTAATTGCGATCCCCTATCGCCCGATCTTGCTATATTCTCGGGCTAACATTTATGGCCGGAGCTGCGTCAACTCGAGGAACAGAAGTCAAAGATCTTAGAGATACCATCCTGCGGTGGCCTTTTCCTTCTACTCGACACAGGAACAAAAGTTCTTACGTTTATAATATTTCAAAATTACAAAACATTTTAATTCAACTACCATTTTTTAATATAATATATTCTCTAGCACGGAATTTAAATTCTAAAAACCTATAAAGCTGTCACTAGAACATTGATACCTAATAGATGTAGCATCTGACCGCAGGACATATCAGTTCCTAGATTTTGTGGCAGAGGAACGTAAAATATGCATGTATTTTTAACACAATATATGGTGTCCATCAGCCAATCCTATTAACTCTATAGGTATACCTACAATAGGAAAACAAAAATATTTTGGTCTGTGCACGGCTTGTTGTTCTGTTGTGTCGGTGCCAAAACTTTAATTGCCTTTCGGGCCGAAAACTTTAGCAGAATCTGTGCTGCTGTGCATTTTGTTAACGTTTCCGGCGACATCTCGCTGGTGACGTCCTGAGCGACCCCTCACCTTCTCCGCAACCCCCGACCCCAGCCTCCAACCGACCGTTGTTGTCCCCGGTTTGTGTGCCCTTTTAATTGCCCATTGAAAGTTGTTCACTTGTTAAAGCGAACTTCGCCTGCCAAGTTGTTCGGCAGTGAAGTGAAGTGTAAGCAAGAAGCGTGAAACTATGTGTTATGCAATTAAAAGTGCAGGGGAGGCGTCTAAGCCCAATCGATGCGGGTATTCAATTGGCCGACGGCAAGCCAATTTGCCGCAACTTATTTAAGGATCAAGTGCTCGGCGGGCGCTGGTGGGAAAGTTGGATGGAAACTCGGGTGACCGCAGCTGCAGCTGCTCGTAATGAGTTTTTCATGCATGCAGGACTGCCGAGACAGATCCTTCAAGCCAACATTATGTGACAGCTGCAGACAGAAATCATACCGGGCCCTTTTCTATATGGTATATGGTATATGGTATTCTATCCGTCCCAATGAGGAGAGGAGTCAGAACGAAAGTTATTATGTTGCATATGGTTATGGGTTGGTTGGGTTGGCCAGGGACCCAGAGTCTACACTAAACCAACTATAACTACTTCTTTCTGCGTTTTGGGACAAATTGTGCAGGTCATTTCTAACGATTCCAATCGATTGTATAATATAGGCTGTTGTTGTTTAACATTTACTTGATTATTTTGGATATTGTTCCGGTTCTGGTACCCTAATTTTTTCAGGTGTTCCCATACTATCTGTGGCATTCTTTTCCTCACATCGGGCTGCTTTGTTTTCTCTGCTGCGATGTCTACTGCCCCTGACTGGCGAGGCAGCCACAATACATTTTTCTGATTTTCCACTTGCATTATCACGTCTAAAAACTGTCTACCATTGAAACATGTGTATTGTGTGCAGTGTCTGGACTAAGGGGCATTTTCAGTTTGTCTAGTCGGAGGGCAACGGGGAAAAGTGCAGGAAGTTCAGGCAATATATAAGCATAATTTAAGAGCGAAACCGGCAGAGGAAGACACCACTAGTTGCCATGGAAAGGCACATAAATTATGAGTGCTGGGCGACTCACATGACTTGCTCTAAGATACGTGGCAAAGTTGCCAAATCTGGTTACGTAGGACAACGAGGGAAATTTAGTAAACAAATACAAATTTCGAGCCAATTTCATTTGGGCAAGAGCGTGAAGCCTGAAATACCCTGGTAGATGCAAAAGTAATGTACCTAACAAGTGCTGGTTAGAGCCTGATTTTGGTTTACTATCTGTGACCTCAAAATGCCAATTTTGGCCAAAACTAAATGGATTTCGTTCTCTCATCAATATGTTATTTAGTTCCTGCCAATATAGATCGGAATCACCTTCTGTTGTTGGGGTTTCTTAAAAGTGTAATAACTTATGCATGTGTGTGCAGAGGAAATTTTATGTACTGTGGAACAATGAAACTATCCAGGGTTAGGCAAATAGAGTTAGAGCAAGAGAAAACGCTATAGTCGACGGCCTCGACTATCAGGTACCCGTTACTCAGATAACAAATAAGCGTCACCTTTCGTTAATTCATATCGGCTGTTTATGAGATTTAACAAACACATAACGTGAAACTTAGGTGACACCAGTGAAATTTCGTAAGCAGACGATTTTCTGTATGAATATATCTCCATCCCTCTTGCACTCTATTGAGTTTGCTAATTATTTACTACTCTTTGGTTGCAACCTTTTTAATGAACTGTCCGATTTAAACATTTTTGGCATTTAGATGGGTATTTATAATAAAAACAAAATTCCATTTAATTTATTACAAAATATTTAAAATTGTGGGCGCTAGACGGGTTTTAGCGTTATGGGCGATTGTGGGCGTGGTACGCTGCTGAAAAGCAACTTGCGCTGCGCAGGAAGCCCAGGAATCTAAATGCCAAGTCCCAACATTCTAGCTCTTATAGTTTCCAAGATCTCAGCGTTCATACGGACAGACGGACTGACGGACATGGCTAGATCAACTCGGCTAGAGATCCTGATCAATAATATACATAAAGATAGGGTCCGAAACGCTTCCTTATAGCTGTTACATACTTTCCGATAAATCTTGAATAACCTGTTCCTCTACGAGCAAGACGTATATAAATTATTAATAAACAATCTGCATCCACCTTTTTGGTGATTTTCTCAAAGGTAACCGAACAACAATATACAATATGCAATAAAATTCTTAAAGTTATTACTTTCCTATCGTGTTTGCTTTGGATCGTTTCCTTTCTTTTTACTAGGGGAGTGTAGGGTAAGGTGACGAACTTGTCAAATCTCATATGTGACATCACGTCAAAAATTCCAAATAATTGTAGTCGATTTCTCTTATCTTGCCGACAATGTATTGACAATAACATTATTAAGAATTCGCATAATTTGTTCGTGAGATAATTTTGACTAAAAGATAGATCAAATATTAAAAACCTATTCAATTCATGTGTTTTTCAGCAGTGCCAGAACAAAGATTTGTGGAAAACAAAGTCAGATAAATATATACAAGTATTATTAAGATGTTTAGCAACAGTTTTTGGTTCTTTGTGATTTTATTTTTTAGGTTTAGCTTAATTGAAGGAAAAATTATTAATGTTCACATCTGCATATAGTTATGCTGTACTGTTTTTATCAGTTCGTCAACTTACCCTACAACTTTTAAAACTAAAAAAATATTAGCTTACGGCAAGAGCTGTATAATTTAACTCCGCTGACATTTTAACATCGAACTTTTAAGGAGTATGTTCCATGGGTGACAGTAACTTTCAGCATTTAAACTTTTGAAAAATATGGATTTTTGGAAAAGTTACATTCAAATCACTAATCGTTCGTCACTATACCCTACTCTCCCCTACTACAAGAAATGGAGTATTATTTTATAAAGAACGTGCCATGGTTCTTTTTGCAAGCCGTTTCAATGAAATTTTAATCAATTTACCAAAAGAATATGTTTCCAGTTATAACTTTAAAAAGATTAAATACCCGAAAAACCAAAAAAAGGGGCTAGAGCCTCTACGAAAAATCCACCCGGTAATCAACCGCACACCATAAATTAGGCCAGCCCGAGATTGCATCTTGACGTGCATCTACAGCTCGCTCCTTTTCCGCCGCCTGTTTCCTGACCCTTCTCATTGACTTGTCCCATTAATTAAGTTTTCGTCTCTGTGCGTTCAGATAAGATGCAGTTGCAGCTGCCACCCCCGCCACGTGCCACTCCCCCAACTCCCCCCGCCCTTGGCCCATGGGTCGTGCAATTGACTTAATAATTGGCCCCAAACATTTTAATGAGCGGCATCTTGTCAGCATCACGTTTTCCGGAACGGAGCCGGAGAGTCAACGCAAAATATGTGCAAGAAGTGGCATTGGCATAATTAAGATCACGTTGGTATAGGGTCTGCTGCCGAGGGACGGGCTAGGCAGCGGATGTGGTGTCGGCTGAGTGAAGCGGAAATTTGAATGCCAAGGCGTCTGCTAATGTTATTATGATATGCAGCAGGATATATCCACCCGACTTGGCTCCATTAAATTCCCATGCACAAACATTGCGCATACGACATGTATGTCAGTGTGGCCTGCCAGGTGACAGGTGCACCTCCTGTTCCTCCCCCTGCTCGAGGACCTGCGGGCGTGTATTAACACCCAAGTGGGAATGACATCTCCTAGGAGCTCCGCTCCAGGCACGTTTGGCGGCCTTTCACACGCCTGTCAAACGCTCCTTCTTCTTGGGTGTCCTTAAGCCCCCCACTCCGCCCTCTCCTGCTGCCCAATGCACCTAACAAAACTACTACAAAATGCACATAAAAGCTACATCATTGCTTATGACTGTGAACCGACCACTCAGTTTTTTATCCATATTTTAATATTATACGACAAAACTTTTTATGATCCGAAATAATAGTTGTGGTTTTCCAAGTCCAGTCTTTAGAATTTAATTGGCATAGGCTGGTTGCCATGAGATAGTTTACTTGTCTCGCTAGAGTGAACTATATTCATTTGTTAATTTAAAAAATGTCTAGAACTGTTGAAAGCAACAATCGCGGGTGTTTTAAAAAGTTAAACATCACCTAAGAAAACATTCTTTAAACAATTGCAAACCTTTAAAAAGGATTGTTTTTACCTTTCACAAGAAGAACTTTACAAATAATTCCCAGTCCGCAAATTCCCGAAACATTTTCTTTTAGTGAGTTGCTTTTGTGCAGCTGCGGCACGTAATGACATGCGGCTGCCAATGTTGTGGACGCGCATTGAGCGCCCCGCAACGCCATCGCCAGCCCGACGCAGAGCATCTCCATCTCGAGGGCCTTGCATAATTTATATAACCACGAGAGCCGCCAAAAAACCGCAAATCTCGCAGCGCCTCGTTGCACACACAAGGCGACATCGGTGGCAGCAGCAACATCAACATTTCAGCAAGGCTGCAATGTCAAAGAACGCCTCAGCAATGTGGCAGCTCGGGGACCGCTTAAAGTAGCCAGTGGTTGCATGTCGACGTATTGATGGTTTTCCCATTTATAACCCGAAACATTTGATAATGGATCGCTGCGGGTTGTCAGCAATTTTGGTCGACTGCCTCGCTTTCAGCAGATGCAGATACATATGTGTAGTTTGGCAGAAAGCTTTTTAAAACGGTATTGCTTAAAATCGTATTCATGTTTGCGCGAGAAATTAAATTAAAAGTGTATCGTATGTAAATTTATTGAATTTAAGTCGACTTTAAATCAAACAAGTATAATTTAACAATAATCCAGTTTTATCATTGATATTATACTTCTTTTTATTCGTAAATCGTACTAATATATATTAAGTATATACAAAACGTTATAGAAAAGAATCTATTTATAAATAGGAATAACTGCTAAATTGATTTTATCCTTTAAAATTTTACCAGGATAGCCAATTGCGTAAAAGGCTCAGTAAGCACCGAATGGAAAATAGAGTTTACCCAATGGAAACCAGTTCAAAAGAAACATAAGTTCCAACTTAGCTAGACTAGTCTAAAAATCTCCTTTCACCTTTAAGTCGGCAAAGGTTATGGGCACTGAATCTCCCAATTGCTCCCTGAGCTTGATGGACAAATTCAACTCGTCGGCAATGACAAAGTATTGTCCATAAGGCAGCGAGGCCAGCAGTACGTCCTCGGCCAACGTAAAGTTCCTGGGAAATCCTGCTGCTTGTGGCCACTTGGCTAGCTCATACTCCAATGTCCACCTGGCCGCCAGATCCTTGTAGTATCCCTCCCGCAAAGCATCTACCTTCTCCAGCTTGGCCAAGTGTGCCAAACTCTTTTCGTGGTTGGCTGACACCTCGATGGCACGCATTAGGAGGGCACTTGTTAGTAAAGTCCACTTGCTGTCCGGCTCAAACTCCAGAAGATCTAGGCAGGATTGCAGCTGCGTTTGCAGCTCCGCCAAGAGTTCCTTGCTGCAACAGGCGGCGGCATGCGGTGGCGCAAAGTAAAAGGCTCCATCCTCGGGGCCAGGCAGGGGTGAGAGGCCCACCTCCTGTTCGCAGAGCTTAAAGGAGTAGGTTGCGTTTCTTTGGTAATCGAAGGTCTGCTGGCATTTCCAACTGGTGCCAGAGCTGTCCACTGGCAGCCAGGATTGCAATTCAACAGTCTGCCCTCCGCCAATCAACTCGGTCTTCAGTTGTTTTAGATCTGGGTAGGGCTTATCTAAAGCGAGGACTGCCCCATGAGACTCCAGTCGAAAAGCAGCTATCCTGGGTGCCCTATCTAGCTGGACCCCACTGCCCAGCAGCCAACGCTGGTAGAACCAGGCACTGCTGTCGTTGGGATCCGTGAAGGCGGCCGTCAGCACCATCTCCAGTTCCTGCTGCAGCTTTTCCTCGCTCATCGGCCGATCCCTCTGCTCGTTGGGGTAGAGCTCCGGGAGCAGCAGGCTCCGATGGTGCCAGCTGGAGTAGTTGGAGAAGTTGACCTTTATATTCTCGGTGCAAAAGTCCAGTTCCTGGGCGGCGGGCACCGCGGCCTTGGCGGTCACATACCGCCTGTAGTCCCAGGTGTGGAAGTTGCGCTCGTCGTACTTGAGGTACTTGTTGCACAGCTGCAGCTCCCGCTGCCAGTCCGCATGGGGATTCTGCTCCAGGGTCCAGCAGCGGTGGTGCCAGGCGCTGTAGGACTTGGGGTTGACCATCAGGCACTGCTCGGTGAGGTCCAGTTCGCAGGTGAATATGGAATGGGCCTTGTCCTCCTTCACAGGGGGCTTATCGCCCAGGGGCTCTGCTTGATCGGGCTTATCCGCCTCATCCTCCGCCTCCTCCTTCAGCTTGGACAGCTTCTCGAGGACGCACTCCCGGCGAATGTTCCACAGAGTGCTCACGTCCGGATTTCGCTGCAAGATCTGAACCGTCAGGGTGAGCATTTCGCTGTCCAGCTCCCCCGCCTCCCGTTTCTTTTGAATCCTTCCCATGGCGGCCCGATAGGCCCGCACTTTGAGAGCCTGCTCCTTCTTCTTCCGCTCGCGCTCCTCCTCCGTGGTCCTCACTTTCACACGTCCGTGCATGGCCTTTAATTTAAATTAACTTTCTTTAGATAAACGAAATTATTAGTCAGCAGTGTTAGTTATCGATAATTGATACCGTCCGCCCGTAATAAAAATACTTTTCATACCAATATACCAAAAATATTCGATAACTGTTGTGCTGAAATGTCAGGAGGGTGTATCGGCTGACTGGGGGGTGTACTTGCTAATTGCAAAGCTCCACCTATTGCATTTACAAGGCACTACGAATAGCGCGTGCTTTAAAAAAATTGATTCGATTTCTTCAGTTACTAAGTTTAGTTGGAAAAATGTCAATGTGGCTGGAAGAAACAATCCTTTAAAAATATGTTCACCGATTTATCAGAGAGTATTCAAATGCGCCGGTAAAAAATGTTGACGGTAAAAAATGTTGCAAAAGCTAAGCAACACAAACATTTGAAGAGAAAGGACCTCCAGATTAGCTTTCTAATCTCTATCCAAAGTAATTTTAAGTCTTACCTTCAAAATATTTGCCAATAAAAAAAATTATATGTGTAAATTACATCCTTTGTTGCAGAGGGTCTGTTGATATTTCAATAAGTAGAAAGGAGACTCCTCTAAATGCATGTAAAATATTTTAGGTCGAGTATCTTTATTTGTCTATTTTAAATCCTGTTAACATATATATATAAAATATTTGAGGTCAAATATTTGTATTTGTTTATTTTAAAACCTGTTGGCAACCGAGGCAATCGAACTACTTGAACGCCCATACCGACTGTCGAAGATATCTTAGGCTAAATCGGGAGAAATGTACGTTACCATCAATAAATCGTCTATTATGATTAAATATGATTTTTTTTTTTATTATCAAAACTAGTATTTTTACAATAATATGATAAAGTACGCACCTTATAATGTATTTTAACCATCTATATATAAAAACCTGTAATTATTTTTTTGCAAATATTTATTGATTTGTATTTATTAAATATATTATATCAGTGTGGACGGCCGTCCACGTAGTGACGAAGCGCACCAGGAGAGTATGCGAAGGCGACTACTATAATAATAGTAGTAATACGCAAAACAAGATTTTGGGGGATTTCTCAAAATTAAAATTTTATTTTGTTTGTCTTAAAACGTTATTTTAGATTTTTATTAAGCAGCTTAATATGAGAAACTTTAGTTCTACTACTTTTGGAAAAACTCGATAGTTTGGCGGGAAACCGCTATAAATAGCTAAGTTAAGTACACCCGTGAACTACTAAAGCTACAGGCTTGTACTATATGTCATTCGAAAGGTATTTCGAAATACTTTTGACGCTTTTCTTACATGAATTGGAAAAAGTCTTTTTTTTAGATTTTATTTATTTCTCAAAGACGGCTCTAACGATTATGGACTAATCCTTAAAGTGTATAGCCCTTGAGATTCCTCAACTTTTCACATACAATACATTTTTGTACAAATTCACGTTTGAAAGTTATTTAGCAACAAAAATGGCCACTTTTACCAGTTCGAAACTCTATTTTAAGGTTCTAGAAATATTTAAATGGTGTTAAACAGCTTAATATAAAAAAGTTTGGTTCTACCACTGCTGAAAAACCCCGCTAGTTTAGCGGAAAACCAGATAGCTCAATTTTTTACGCCCCTAACTTATGAACCAATAATACTGTTTTATATGTTGTTGAGAAGGTATTTTAAAACACTACGAACGCCTTCTTAACGTATAACGTATACATAACATACAAAAGTTCTGATATCAAACTTTGTGCTTGTACATTTGTCTAAATAAATATACTTTTGCTAAAGTCTACCTAGGTACCTGTAAATTAGGTTTTATTTTGTTAATTAATACCCATCTGCATGCCAAAAATTGTCATTAAAATGTTATGATCCAAAATGTTATGCCAAGTCCACTCTAGCGCCCACAAATCGCAAAATATTGTGGCGGCCGCCTTTTTGAAGATTTCTTTTCGGGGTACATTTTAGTATACTTTATTTGTCAATATCTATCGACGTGCTAAAAGTTGATTAAATCTGACCATTAGTTATTAAGGTTATTTGCTGAGTAACGGGTTTATGATTGTCGAATCATTCGCTTTTGTTTTTAATTTATTGTTAAACAATTTATAAAAAACACCATTGGTTCGATGGCCAGCCCATTAAATATCGGAATGGGGACATTACTCTATAAAAATACATTTTCTTTACCAAGCTACGCCGAAAAGGATTGCAAATTTAGTTCATTCCATCTTATTCAATTGAACAGGCATTCTTGTTTTAGAGTCCTGCGAATAATTTATGATTGGCACATTCATACATCTTTTTTCAAAAACACTGCTCACCCATTGTTTTTTTGTGATCTGTATTCGGTATCTTTTGTTTGCCAAACTGACACCGTTCTGGTTTTCCTGGCCAGTGCTTCGGAGATGGAAGCAATCAACCCTGCTGTCCAGATCCCCGACCTTCGCTTTAAATCGCCGCTTTTGTTTGCGTTGTCATAAAAATAGAAATCTCGCTTCATTGCCGGTCCTTTGTGACTGTCGCAACTACTTCAATTTACTTGGCGAGTCGTGTGAGCGATGTTCCGAGGGTGCAGCGAGTGATTCCACCTAAGCTGATCGGCCTGCAGACAACCCCTGGGTACCGCACACCCTGACCTGTTGGCCAGATTAGGACCAGACCCGAACCCCTGCCCCAATGCGAACCCACATAAAAGCCGCATTTGAGACGCGCAAAATCAGTCATAATATTTCAAATTTCATAAATTGATGCGTATCACATTAGGAGCGACAGCAGGAGCCGCAGTCTAACGGTAACGATGCCAGGACCTGCCACGCCCCCGCCCGTCCTCCTCCCATATCCTTGGCTGCGAATCCACCCTCGGGAACTGACTTTGATAAACGCATTTTTGGAGGGGGGTGCGACACGCCCACATTTCAACGCGTTGCGCAAATTTGCTGCTAAATAAAAAATCTCTGAGAAGAAAGGAAAATATAAACGAATTTTTATGTAAGTGCACGGCGGAAATATGAAAGACATACTTTAAAAAGAGTTTTGTACTAGAATCGTAGTCTGAACCCAATTCATAAATGGATCAGATTTATTTTAAAGAGTAGTAAAAAATGATTCATTTTCATAAGTATGTTTCCTAAATTTGTTTTTTCTAATAAAAATTTGATGCCTTAATTTGTGATATATTAATTTAAGTTTTCAATTTTGTTGAGCAGTGCATATCTATATGTAGGGGGCGGCCATGTACATTTCTTTGATTCGCTGCACGATTGATTTTCCCGCTCCAGGACTTCGCCGTCGTCTTATCCTTAGCAGTCCTTTCATTCGCACCTGCTGCCGCCTAAATTGTTCCCCGACGGCTCAGCCCGACTCCTGAATATCCCTGGAACCCGAGAACCCTGCCCACTTATAGGATATCTTTCCGTAGGTCCAGCCGTCGTTCATTTCGTTTTGTTCCTCTTTGCACAGCCATAAAACAATAAAGGAGATTCTTGTATTTGTATTCCTGCTTCGAGTCACTCTCGCTGGAGAAATGCTTTTCTAATTAAATTTTATGACTTGCCTGATGAAGTTTCTGCTGGCCCTTCGTGATTGCGATTGAACTATTGATTGGTCACGAATGGGAGATTACCCCGGGGCGTCTGGATGAGGCTCCTTGCTGGGGATGATCCTTGGAAGGAGATAGGAAGGAAAGTTAAGTAATGACGGCTGCACTTTAAATTACACTTGAGCAAAGGGCATTCAAATCTGAGACGAAGATATAAAAGTCTTTGATGTCGAAATTAAATTTATTTCGATTCGTATCGAATCAGTTGATTGTGCACCATGGGAAGCTGTTTTAAATAAAAGAGGGGGCTTATTGTCATGAATCAGTTTGTGAATAGTTAGGCAAGGAATAATATAGTTTGGAAATTAAAAGGGAGGCCGAAGTGATTTTGTCAAATTGTAGCTATGATTGAATATAAAATAGAATGCAATAAAATACGAATTAAATTAAATTAAAATCTTGAAAAGTCATGCATATCTAACAAGTAATTTCCTTTTGTAACATTCCTCATTAAGATAGTAATAATATCTGAATGTAATCAACTTGGAAACACAATATTTTGTAGAATAGAAAGTCCTTCTTAAATTTCCTCGGATTAATTTGCTGAATGAAATGCCATTAACTTGTACACTTTCATTTCCACGTGCTGCCGAACTTCAAGTGTTACCATCAAATTGGTAATCCAAGTAGACCCCAGTGAAATTCGCTGGTTTCTCCTTGGCCAACCTCTCCCCCTCCCTCCGTTTTCATTCATTCCATTGAGTTGGCTGCCAGGCAAATTTCAGCGATTTCCCGAGCACTTCGCTGCCACGCTGAAAATTGACACCTAATGCCCACGCAGGAGGAAAACTCTCGCATTCAGTGGCCCATCCTCTTGATGGGCTTCACCTCCCACCCCCAACCCCCTCGTCCCTTATCCACGTAGCCTCATACACCAAGAAAAACTTGGCTTGGATTCTCTGTAATCGTTAAAGTATTTGAATAAATTTAAACATATTTAGAGCAGCCTTCTTGAGGTATTTTATTATAGTTGATTTTATTTGAATTTCTTAAAAGGATCCTTTTATCGATAACCTATAATAAGGCATCTTAAACTAATCAACTGACTTGAATTTAGAGTAATGATGATGATGACGTTACCTTCCTTAGCATTTACGTAAATGCTTATAATCTACTCAACAAAATATGTTTTTTATTATAAAATAGGTTCTATAAACTGACATAATGTCAGAATCAACCGAATTAGCTCGATGTACATTTTATAATTTTTAGAAAAACACAATCAGGCTAATTCCCCTATGGAGGCTATCAGATATGGTGCTCTGATTGTGATAGAACTACAATTATTTACTGAAATCCTTATCAGGATATGGCGACCGTGTCCTGAAGCCGCTGAGTGTATCCGAATAAGGGCTAAGCGAATGCGCAAGCAATTGACGTAAATAAGGAGCAGCCTGGGCAACGTCAGCGCCACGATGACGACGCCTGTAACCGGAGATGCCCGGAGGATGAGGGCCGTGGTGCGGCCTTACATATAGATATACGTATAAA